TTGGATCCTACCTCATCCCTGAAAATTTCCAGCAAAGAAACATGGACCTTATTCAGTCTATTAAGAATTTCCTTCAAAATGATGAAACCAAGTTCAATGAGTTCAAAAATTATTCAGGCCAGTTTAGACAGGTAACTTTCAAACCAAGATTTCAATTACTCTTATTTTTTTTCCCAGTGTTAAATGGATATAAAATACCTTTGGATTATTAGTCCTGCAACGTCTAAATCTATTTTAAGCAGCATGATTTCTTTTATAATTATTATGCAGCTCATTAATTGATACTTTTGAATGTTTTTAAATTGTTTGAATATTTGAAACATGTATTTTTGGCAAAGCTGCTTCGAAACTGTTTGTATTGTTAAAAGTGTTATAAAAAATAAACATAAATTGAATATATTATTTTCAAGTTTTATTTGACGCATCCCATAGGACCATTTGAAAGGTGTTTAAAAATGGTGGGAAAACTGCTGACCCATTATAGAACCTTTGATGCACTCAGTCTTTGAAAAAATGTCAACATAAAACCTTGGTTTACACACTATATTTTACCTTGATCTCTAACATTTGTCCTTTATTAGATGTTAATAAACTCTCTTTTCTCTTGATCAGGGTATAATCCCTGCTGTCCAGTACTACAAAAGCTGCCAGGAGCTGCTGGGAGAGAATTTCAACAGGGTTTTCAACGAGCTGCTGGTTCTCCTACCAGACACTCGCAAGCAACAGGAGCTTCTCACTGCCCACGGAGACTTTAAGGCTCTCGAGAAACAGCAGCAAGGCTTGAAGCCTAAAAAAAACAAAAAGAAAGCCTGGCAGACATGCAACAGCCTGGAGTTGGACTGTCAAGTGTGTCCCACCTGTAAGCAGGTGCTGGCTCTGAAAGACTTCAACACCCATAAGACGCAGCACATCGGCGATGATGACTTCCCCTCTCTACAAGCCATAAGCAAGATTATCAGCTAGCTGCCAGCAGACACATGTCCACGGCTGTCTGTGACACACGACCTGGTACTGCACCAGGATATTGGCAAGATGCGTGAAAGGATGAGGGGTTGTCAGAGCTGCAGTGAAAATGTTTACTCGGATTGTTCAGGTTCAGAAAGTTTTGACAGCACCTTTTTTTAAAGAGGAAAGATCAACCCTAGTCTTGCAAGTGGAACTGTAACTCTTTTGAAGAGAAACGGGTTAAATCTACTTGAAGGCTTGAATTCTAACGTTAATTCCAGTTCATCTTGACAACTTGGTTTTTCCAGCTGTTAGCATGGTAATTTTTTTTAATTGTAAGGTTGACTGCCTTTGAAAAATAACCTATTTATTTCAGAATGCTCTTGCCGTTTAGTTGAAATAAATTAATTTCTGTTTACAAACTCTACAGCACATAAAAATGAATGGTTAATATATAGTTTTCTAACAGTAAGCTACCTTGATCTGTCAACTGACTTTGACAAATGACATTTTTGAATGTTTGTTTGTGCTTAAATACTTTGCAATTAAACAATCAAGCAGGGGAACACAATGCACTCCTTAGGGCTCACGTGATTGTCTTTTCTCTTTTACACAATTAAATCGGTTTGAGAAAGTTTCAACTGCCTTCAAATATAACCCCAGACAGACATTCTGAAAGGTTGGCGGATAGGATCAGATTGCAGAATGTTTTGGCTAAATGGATAATTCTTGGATAATAATTTGTTTGCTTAGTTTTTGTTGATTACCATTGTGCTTGTGCCTCTTAAATGGTTTTTCTCCCTCTCATAGAAGACTGTTGAGACTTCAGTACGCTCACCGTTTCTAATCTCTCTTACATGAACTGCTAACTGTGGCAAGACCCTGTCTTCAACTATTTGCGATGTGTCAGGACATATCTGCAGAATAAATGCTGGTCGAACATCATCAACCTTAAGATTCATTTATTAAGGCTCCAGTCTCTGTATCTCGTCTGTTTGTTGTGTGCAACAGAGGAAGAGTTTATGCAAAATTTTAATTCTGTCATTTTAAGAAGCACCTTATTACGTGTAAAACAAAAGATGTTACATTCTCAAAAATAATCGTGGTTTCATGTAGAAACTTGTGGAACCTCCACTGTGCAAAAGCTGCTTAGTGAAAAGGGTTCTTTAGATTAAAATATTCTTCACACTAAAAGAAAAATGGTTATTTTAAGAACCGATCACTGAAAGTTTGGAGCCTTTTTTATTGCACCAACGTTTTTTGTAGTCGAAAAAAGGTTTCTTATCTCTTATCTCTTATTCTTATCTCTTTTTTGGGAAAGCTAGAAGTGGTTCTTCTATGGCATCACTGCAACCGCCCCCCCCCCCCCCCCCCCCCTTTAATCCACTTTTGGATTTGCCATCGGCTGCAAAAACAGCCTTTATGGAACTTTATGTCTAAAGGCTGTTCACACCAAGGATAACTAATGAGAAATCTTTCTAATTATAAAAGAATCACAGTCCACACCACAACTATAACGGTAATGGCACAGAGAAGCAATGTTGTTGGAATAAAAATGTTTTCTTGTGATTAAAAAAAATGGACAGCCAATCAGAATCCATCCTGCTTTAAAGACCTCCTGCTTTATGTGAACGGGCCTTAAGAGTTTAGGCAGAATTTCAGGGACTGACAACATTTCTGCCAAACATCATCTTTTGTGTTCCAATGTAGAAGGAAAGTCATGCAAGTTTGAACAACATGAGAGTGAGTAAATGACAGAATTTTAATTTTTGAGTGAACTATTCCTAAGTCTTATCTAATTTTATAGTTGGATCTCAAGGTGTTTCTTGTTTTCACAGCTTCTGAAGTTCCCTTTTGATACGGTTCACTCGCATTGTGTTTGTTCACTAACGCTTATGGGGAAAACTGGTTCCTGATGGCATTTCAGCCCAACGAAAGGGGCAGGGTTGGCAGTCTATTTAAGCCTTGCAGAAATTCCCAATTGTCAGAATCTTTCTTATTTCTCAAGATCATCTCACTGCTCTGATAACTGAAGCCTTGCTCTCCTTGCAGTTGAACCAGCCTTTCAGTGGAACGACGCTCTGCAGGCAAGCCAATTCTACACGCTTTGCAAGCAAGCTGACGCTCCTCATCTGGCACGAGTGGCATGGTCTCGTTCGGCAGGTCTGGCTAAGAGTTAGACTCGATGTCTCTGGCTGCCTCTGAGTGCGAAGATGAGATCCTTGGTCATTCCGCTGTTCCTGCTCCACAGGCGACCACTCCAGCTCTGGTTTAACGGGCCCACAGGCCAACACACTCTCAAGGTGACCCACAACTGCATCAAAGCCTTGGTCCCTTGGAAACCACCCTGCTTTTACCAAAACGGTTATGCTGGGCTCGGTTTTCAGGAGGAAAGTGGTCGAGACGGACGCCTCCAAGACTGGCTGGGGTACCCTGTGCAACGGCAGAATAGCCTTGAATAGCTTAATAGAATAGCTCATGGTTGGCGATCCTTATGTCAAGTTGGCACATCAACCGCCTGGAAATGATGGTGATGATTTTGGCCTTCAAGGAGTTCAAGCAGGAACTCAGGGGTCATCATGTTCTGGTCCGCTCAAACACCAGGATGGTGGCTGCCTTTATAAACCACCAACAAGCTCTCAAGTCTCGCCCTCTGCACATATTGGCGAACCATCTCCTGCTATGGGCACAGAGAAACCTCTGTTCAGTGAGGGCGTTCAATTTGACTGGCTGCTCCAACGAAGGAGCAGAGATACTTTCATGCGGCAGACCGGCACCGGGGGAATGGAGATGGGAATGGGGCCCCCAGGCAGTCAACACGATATGGTGCACCTTCGGTCAGGCAGATGTGGATCTCTTCACAATGTAAGAGAATTCCCATTGCCAAATATACTTCTCAAAGGAAATGGACATGCTGGCACAGAAATGGCCTCGTTTGCTCATTTATGCCTTCCATCCTCTAGCCCTACTTAGCAGGTCCCCAACAATTTGGTACCCCCAACTGGAGTTGTAGAACCTGCAAATTTGGCCCATATCAGGCCTTACCGAGGAAGTGAGACGAAAGCAATCTCGGAAGCGAGGGCTCCTTTACGCACGGAAATGGTCTGTTTTCTCAAGCTAATGCTTAGCTCGGAAAATAGACCCAGCCAAGTGCGAAACTTTGTCTTGTTCTCACGTTTCTGCAGTAGATGCTGGACGGTGGGCGTGCCCCCTCCATATTTAAAGTACACATGGCAGCCATTGCGGTAAATCACGCCCTGGTGGCCGACTAATCGATTGGGAAAAACGACCAGCTTGTTAGGTTTCTCAGGGGACCTAGGATGTTGAATCCTCCCTGCCCGTTCAGTCCTGTCATGGGAACTCTCCAGTCCTTAGCGCCCTCTGGAACCCTTCCTTTGAGTCAAATGACCTTCGGTCCCTCTCGCTTAACACTGACTTCTTGCTGGCTTTAGCATCAGTCAAGCGAGTTGGAGATCTGCAGGCTCTGTCTGTGGAACCTTCCTTCCTTGAGTTCATCCCTAACGACTGTCAAGTGGTCCTCAGGTCGAGAATATGCTACGTGCCGATAGTGTCTAAGGTAATGTTTATGGTTACTCGCGTAACCCTGGTAACTGGAACAAGCATTGCGTAACTGCCAAGCTACTGAGTTGCACAGCGAGTTATGCTAGCCGCTCCTAAGTCGAAAGATTCTGACGATTGGTTATTTATGCATGGCTTATATTATAGGCAGCCAACCCCGCCCCTTTCGGCAGGCTGAAATGCCATGTGTGTGCACTTGCTCAGATGTGAACCAATCAGGCTTCAGGATTTGAGGAAAACAGGAGTTCTCCCCATAAGAGTTATCTCAGGGAACCAGGGTTACGTGAGTAAACATATACTTTTTCTTTGCACTAAATTTTGAATTAAATAACATTGGGATATATCAGAATATTTAATTATATAACTATTTGAAACAATTTAAAGTAGAAAGTTCAAAATGTTTCAGGGTACAGCTTCTGACAACTGAATTATCTCATTATAATGGAATGCATAAGTCATTAAAGGGGCACATTACAGGTGATCCACTCATGAAAAAACATGTCTTTATTTTTATAATGTCTGACAACTGCAGTCCGAAGACATTCCAACTGACAACAGCAAATCTTTTGTGTACATCTTTCGATCACAAGATGGCATATATTGCCTGCAGATACAGTATGTACTATGTGTTTTAAAAGAGTCATGGACTAGGTCAAGGCATTTTTTACTGATGCAAATTTTGCACTTTGTCCTTCAAAGGAGTACAAATACAAAATTTAAATAAGGCTTTTAATTTCACATCTCTTCATCGCCTATTATACTTGTTTAGAGGTGCAAATTTTGATCCAGCAAAACATACCTCAGTAAATTAGAAATATTGGTCCATGAGGCATTTTAAAGAGTGCAGAGTTAAGTACAGGAAACACAAGACCCTGACCACTTTCACAAACATACTTCATTTACATGTTTTGAAGTACAATCACTATCATTGTTGTATGTTGCCCTATCTCTGAACACAGAAACATTACCAAAATCTACCACATATCAGACAAAGCAGTGATGATGGTCACCAAACAGCTTCTTTTTTTTTAACAACAGCCAACTGATGAATATCTGAAGGGTGTCTCAAACACATCACTTTTCAATTTACACTGCTGTTCAAATATTTGAGCTCTGTATTTTTTTTAAGTCTCTTATGCTCATCAAGGCTGCATTTATTTGATCAAAATTACAATAGTAATATTGTAAAATATTATTACAAATTAAATGAATGGTTTTCTATTTTAATATATTTTAAAATGTAATTTATTCCTGTGATGGCAAAGCTGAATTTTCAGCATCATTAGTACAGCCTTTAAACATTTCTGATTGCCATCAATGTTGAAACAGTTGTGCTGCTTAATATTTTGTAATAACTGTGATTTGTTCAAAAGAGCAGCATTTATTGGAAATTGATTTTTTTGATTAATCTAATGTGTCCTTGATGAATAATAATTTAAATATGTTTCAAATGCCATTTTCTTCAAAAATGTTTATTTTAAATGCCAATTAAATGTTTTACATAACTATATAGTTGTATTCCTCACTTTTAAAATGGAACGAATTGTGGCTCTAACAAAATATAAAAAAAAACTTTTTATTCGAAATCCACAAAAAAAAAAAAAACAATCCCAAATCTTGCTTTGTCTCATAAGAGACTTCACGAAATCAAACATTGAATCAACACCATTTTTACACACCTATGATACAGAAGACACCCTTATCTACAGCGAAACTTCACCCTCTTTTTGGACGACCACCTCTCGTAAGCTTTTAGTTGGAGAACGTGTTAAAAAGTTTGGTGATTCCATGTTTCAGATATTGCACTTTATATACAGTACCCAACAACATAATGGAAACTGAATATATAAGTTATTGTTTAGGATGCATGGCACTTTATAGCTCTCTAAATATAATACATGCAACGTAACCTTTTTCATTTTTATACAACACTGATACCCTTCAATCAGTTTCACTCCAGCTGATAAATTAACATGTAATATTCCAAATGAAAGTGAAATCACAATCAACATATTCTTGTACAGAAGTTCACAGAACGCTACTACCTATGAACATTGTCACACCACTTCAGTTTGAAGAGCAGTGCCAGTCACCCACAATGATAAACCAATGACATCGCACATGGACTCTTGCTCGGCAGCGTTTCAGTAAATTGGCACCTGGTAGGTTTGGCCGGTGGGGTCCAGGTTTTCAGTGAAGGGTGGGCTCTGGTACGTGTCGCCGGGCTCGGTGCTTGTGACGGTGGGGTAAGGCTGGACGGGTTGGTTGCCATCGATGTGCTCTGTTGTGAACAGGGTCATATCGGTCCCTAGCAGGTACTTCTGCACCGCTCTTACAGTCGAACCAGCCTGAAATACAAAGACAATGCAACTAAAAGTCTTGGGTTACTATCAAACTCTAGCCTGGATACCAGTCGAACTTAGCCCCGCCCACAACATTTGAGAAGCAAGTATCATGGCAAGTACAGAGCATCACAGTCCCGCCCACAGCCGGTGCTTGAAGTAAAAATTCAATACAATTTCTTCATTGACATTTGAGATACAAGCCATAAAAACGTAACCATACATACACGTAACCATAGTACAGCTACGGCTGTACTAAGCGATTGTATATGCTGATATAAATGCCAAAAGTTCATGGGGCACTAAACTTGTTTTAAGAAAATGCCTTTTATTTGCGATGTATTGGATAAGTACTTCATTACCCACAATCCCACAGTGATGCATCTGATTGGTGGAAGTCGTGTCACGTGTCTGGAACCCCGTCAAGGCTCGTGAAGACTGAAGATTGTGTAATGACATAGGGCTAAGTTCATTGGTCGCACCTCTGAGATGCCCTAGCGCCATTGGATGTGCAGTTGCCACAGCTTAGCCTATGTGCGAGCCAGATGCTCAAAGCTTCAGTAAATCGAGGAAAAGGAGTTTCCCTGCACATTCATTATATAAAATTTACTGGAGGAAAAAGTTCATGCGGCCGATTTGGAAGTCACTCAAAAGGCTCTTTCACGGTGGCTTCAGTCGACTTTAGTGAGGCGCGGTGGTTTATGGGAGGAGTAGTTCCTTTTCTCGGAAATGAAAATATGTAGGCTACACAGGCTTGTACCCTTGACTTTTTTTGGATTTTCTCTTCGTTTTTTCACTCGAAATGATGTGTTGTATGCTTATGAGTTCAGCTATTGCTGATTATCCTCAGACATGCTCTAATACTCTTTAGATATGGATTTTACAATATGTCAATGGGAGAAATAAATGGGAAATTTACTTCCGGCACCAGGGCTCTCTCGGGCTGTGGGCGGGACTGCGATGCTCTATGCCCGAACCAAAGCTATTCGGACCAATCAGATTCTCAGGGCGGGCTTTAAGCGATGATGGACAGCTGATCAACAGTAACGTAATCATCCACGTCACCGAAGAGTGCTTGGGTTGAATTCGTAAACAACAAAGTATGGCTGCCGCTGGAGATTTGAGATGTGTAGATTCAGCCATTGGGTCGGTTATAGAAGATGTAGACAGCGCATACATTTTAAAAGAGGAACTGAGAAACGTGATCAAGGCATTTGTAGATCGGAAAGATGTTTTTGTCGTCCTTCCTACAGGATTCGGTCAATCCAGTTGAGTATAGAGGCATTTTTTTCCTGGTTCGGTTGAAACACGCCCCATAATCACAGCCCAATGGAGCAGTATCAGACTCACATTCTGACTAAATCTGAGTATGACGATGTCAGGCTAATCAAACTCTCTTTAAAAAATAGCAACTCTCAAATCTGACCACTTTTCCTTTACAATACAAATTATTCTAGCACTTTAGTTTTGCATTTTTATCATATGGTTAAAGTTGTATCCTTAGCAACATCACATTAAAAAAAGTTGCTGCCTTAAATTTTTAAGCACAATCAACTTGGATGTTTAAGTCTTTCAACTTAAATTACATTAAACTAACTTTAAAAATGAGTAGAATTTTGTATGGCTTTACTTATTTTGTTGAGTTTAAGCAATGTAAAAACAAGTGTTGCCATAACTTATTAATCATGCTGAAACATCACAGTATTATCAAAACAACTTTTGCAGGTCATTGTACGACGTCTTGCAAGAAACATGAATTAAACATAATTATAATATATATGCCGGTATGTAATAAACAAAATAAAATAATCGTTGATGTAACAATTTCTAAAAATCACAGATGAGATAAACATTTCACTCTTGTTGAGTAACTGTAAGAAATAGTCTTTCACTGCTTCTCTCACATCAGGACACACCACCAAACACTATTCTTATCCTCATTCATAGCCAGGGAAAAGGAAGTAATTCTATTACATGTTCCCAATCCCCTGAGGGCTGAAACCAGTATGTAGAGCAAGCTAATGTCGATGAGATGGGTCATGATTTAACAACTTCCTCAAGTACTCAACTCAAAATGGATTTGTATTCTGCAAGAATGGCGCTCACTCTCATAAAATGACAGTAAAATGTGTTTTCATTTCCATTTTCTCATTTACCCAGGTGAAGATGGAGAAGAAGGAGAAGGTTATGGCAGCTCTGGCAGCATCCGCTCCCTGATTTAATGGCAGCTCATCTGGGGTGGTGCGTTGCCATTGGTTGGCCAAGAAGCAGAAACAAACAAACCACAAAAATGTCCAGAAACCTGTAATCATGTACAAAATAATATTAGACTAACGACAATATAGTCTACTGCTCCCGTGTTTACATAAATAGACAAAATCACAAATAAAAGTGACAATGTCTGTGTGAAGGCAATACAGTTACTTCTGTGGAGATTATGAATGGCTGCCAGACGCCGTAAATAATTTACCACTTAAAAATAGCATGCAGTCATAGAAAGTCTGAGTCTGTTTTTACTTGCTCTCATTGTTTACCTGAAAATCCAATGTCCAGCATTACTGCCTTCTTTCTGTCTTTAATACTGCTGATTTGTTGGAACTTCACGTCAAGGATAATGAAGAAAATGCAGGCTAGAAATGCTATGAGCCCAATGGTGGTCCCATAGTTGCAGGCATCGTTGTTCTTGTTGAAAACGCAGTAGAGCCTCTCGCTGCCGTGGTTGACGTAGCCTTCATTTATTATGGATCCAAACACCACTATTGAGAAGATCTGCAGGGGAAAAGGTACGCATGACTTAATGATGTGTTTTTATGATAATGCTGCTAAAACCCTTTGTTAATGACATTAAACAATTAATAATATTAAATACTATTGTGTAAAGGCAGTTGATATGAAATGAAAAGCAGTGACAGAAGATTCATACTCTGTCACATGTTATACTTCATCTAAAATGCTAACATTTTTTTTAATAATTTTTGTATAATTATAGACATAGTTACAGTTTTATATTAATCACGAGACTATATTTGTACTTTTAAAATGCAGTAACCATAAAAACTTAATTTAAAATGTGTCAAATATGTAAAATGGTGACTAGTACAGCTAAAATATACACATTTTCATTTCTGCATTTATAAGTATAAAATCTTGATGTTGAAAAAATGGACGCATTTTTTTTAACTCCCTGGTTATGTGGAGAATATATATATAGCCTAAACATTTTTCATTACATTTCTAACTATTAAACGATTTTAAACTTACAAACGATAAGCATTATATAATGTTGTAAATGCTATTAAATTAACATTATATAGGCCTACTGTAAATGTTCTAAATCAATATTTTCCATTTCGAGGACAAAATGTCCAAACTATTCTGTTCTGTATGAAATCTTTTATTTCTGAAAATGTTTATTTAGGCTAAGACCTATTTTACATGGAATAAAACAAAATTTGACTGAAAGAGAATTTTATTGCACAAAGCCATAATCCACGTGATGTGTGTGTCTGATGCAAAAATGGAAGTAACAGTACATGAGCGTATAGTAAAGCAACAACCAATCAGAATCGAGGAGCCGGTCAGACTGGCTGCGGATCAAAACCTATGGGCTGCCTATCTAAACAGCATTTCTGATCAACATAAATGCTCAAAATGAGACACTTGCTTATATTTTTGATACATAGTGATGCTCTTACTGAAAAAACAAACAAAACTAGGCTATACTGCATTAAAGAGAAACGTTCATCAATTTAGGCTCTATACAAATAGCCTATAGGTATACAGCTTATATGAAGTCACGTCTACGTGATAATAGGCCTATTGATATAATAGGCTATAATGCTATTTTAAACGAAAAAATCTCACAATAATAAACGAAATAACACAAAAGATTCAAGAATGAGTGTGTGTATTTAGGCTATAGTCATGCTTCTATATGATATGTTATTATTCTAGAAGGAATCACATGAGTAATCTCGTCATCAGAGGCAAATACGCTTCGTGACATCAACACGTCAAAATTTGCAAATATAAACGAAAAATAATCTTACATGTCGTAAATAAACGCATATCTACAAGGGTCATATTTCCCCATTGACCTCGTTAAATTATTAAATGAGCGTGTGATGAAAACGTTGTAATTATGATTTGCTCTGGGTTATTCTCACAGTTTACATTTGTCTCCTCTAGGCTGACATGATTATCTCTAGGTAAATAAGTGTCTTACCCATGATAATATTCTAAGGATGGTCTGCGGCTGCTGAATAAAGGCAAAAGGGTCGAAAGCAGCCCCGGCTCTCCCAGCGCCAAATGAACCTACTCCGTCCATTTTCCTCCTACTGTTATTCAGGCTCTGGGCTCTTGGTCGAGGTAGGCAAACACACACACACACACACACACACACACACTGTTAGAGGCGTGCGCAATCTCTCTGATTCTGTGTTACATTCTCAACAGCAACATCTACTGACTAATCTAGTCTTCTCTTCGGTGTTTGGGAAAGTGGGTGGTTTAGAAATGTGATTTCGAGTCTTCCAACCTCGTATCTGTCTTTCATCAGCAAGTGTGTTGGAAATTAGCATTTTCTTTAGTCCTCACAAGACTTGTATTTGGAATAATCATTTTTATTGTACCCCGTAATAAGTCTTTGTATAATGAAAACTGGTTTAAATTGAATATTTTTGTCTTTAGTGTAGGCTATGATGGACAGTTAATGGTAATATTCTCAATTACAATGATTTCTGTTTAAAACATGCCATCCTGTTGTTTGTTTTACACAGTTGTTAGTGCCATAACTCAAAACATGGTGATATTCTTGCACACACCTTCCTCTCCATCCCAATGTTTTTAATATTGATAAACTTCTACCAAATCAGCTCAGATGACACTATATTTATTGAAAGATTTTGATTTGAATGAGATAAGACTGGGGTTAGCTGTACTTTTCCAATTTTCCCTAAAGTAAAAGAACTTCCATTTTAAAATAATTAATGATAATCTGTATATCCATCCAAAGAAATGACTTATAGGTCAAAATTTTATATTGGGGGGAGAACTCTTGTCAATTTTGTGAGAATGACATTGAACCTGAGCAAATCTCTTCTGTTCTCAGTTGTACAGCAAAATGTACCACATCGACATCCATGTCAACCCCTTTAACTGTGAAGAAGTTCAATTTGGTGTGCTCAAGAAACATTGTACACAACACTATCTGGTTTACAACCTTTTCGGACTTGCTAAATTCTTCATTCATAAATGTAGATTTTTTTTATGATTGTGTCATTCTATTTGAACATGAGCTATTTACAAATTTAAGATCCTGTTCTAATGCCACTATCCTCTATCTTGGTCCTTGTAATACATTTCATCTCCCTACCAGACTAGCGTAGTTTTATATTGGGTAAAACATATCAATATAAGTAAGTATAACCCCCTACCTCCTTTCCTCATTTTGTAATGAGCTTAAAATTCTTGCTTCGTCCCTCTGTGCTCTCTAAAATTAAAAAGCTATTTTTTCCCATGAGTTAAAGGCCTTGTAGCTTTTGATCCCTCCTTGTAGATTTAGTTGTTTTTGACTTGTAATTTAGTCAAAAAAGTTGAGAACCACTGCCCTAAACAAACAGAATATTTTTATTTCCAGCTGTTGAACAGTGTTCATCCAGTTACCTCTGGGCTATTTACATCCACCGAGAGCTCAACCATCCAAAAAAAAAGTATGGGCCATAACACCATACTCTTGTAGACAGACAAACTCTTGATTAAAAGCACATTTTAGATATTTGATAAATCACAATATCAATTAGAACAAAGTTTAAGTGCAAAGTCATCATGTATGTTTATGCATGACTCCTGATTGGCGCTGCAACCTGCATTTGTTGCGACAAAAATGACAGGCACAGAATCAGTATCTGACGTCTTTGAGCTCATGTTCATTTCAGTCACAAGAACCATCTTTCCAGCCATCTCGCCATCGCTCATCCACCCTGCTGCAGTCAAACTCCGGCTTGCCTAACCGGATGTTGATGTCATTATGGAGACGACACAGCCACTGTGAGAGGTTGTGCCGGCTGTTAGTGTCTGGTTGATTTGTTTTCAATCTGATAAGAGACAAAATCATTGAAACATATGCTACCAAACATAAATGTAAACACTGCAATGCTTCAACTAAAAAATGGTAGAGGACAAACATAAAAACCACAACAATAAATGAAGACAACCTTGATCTCAGGTCCTCTGCACATTCATCACATGGGAAAACCTTGGAGAAGAGGTTGATGAACTGTGTCATCTCCCCCTGCTGTTCTTTGGTCGGTGTATCGGGATAATATGCAGCCATAGTGTGAAGAAAAGACCATGAGCTCCTGCCCAGCTCCTCTCTGTCCAGAGGGCATTCAACAGGCTTAGTTTCCTCCACCGCCCTGCTCTCCTGTTCAAATATCATATGAATGTTTACTGTAAACTATAGCAACTGTTGTAGCACAACATTATAGTGTTGCTCTGGCTGCTAAACTATAGTTCTTGACAAGTAACTATAACAAGTATGTAACTTTTTAATCAGATTACTTTTTCAAGTGTAAAAAATATTTTCAAGATTTGTTATCACAACATATTTTCTTTTGTCAAATCAACTTTATAATAATTTATTTAGTTGAGATAACTTATAATTTTGAGTTTCTGATGGTTAAATTAATCTACTTTATTGTATTAACTCACTTTTTCCAGTTCAATCAACTTAAAATTTTAAGGCAACCCAGGTTACTGACTTTTTTAAGTTATACCAACAAAAAAATTTTACAGTGTAGTAATCACAACATTTTTTCTTTTGTCAAATCAACTTGAATAATTTATTTAGTTCAGATGACATATAATTTTGAGTTTCTGATGGTTAAATTAATCTCCTTCATTGTATTAACTCACATTTTCCAGTTCAATGAACTTAAAATTTTAAGGCAACCAGGTTACTTACTTTTTTAAGTTAAACCATCAACATTTTTTTACAGTGTAGTAAAGTAACACATTACTTTTAAATTTTGAAACAAAATATCTGAGTTACTTTTTCAAATAAGTTTTCCCATTTTTTTGGCTGACAAGTGGAGAGGCGTTGTGTGTAAACATGATGGTTATTTTAGTTCTAGACTAAATGTGTGCGTGCATTTATTCATCTCACTTGCACAAAAAAGCTTCAATATTCCTCAAAATACAATGCAAACCTCCAATAACTAAATATGTTAAATAAAACATTTTTATGCATTTAATCTCATCTTATTGACCAGTGTACTTGCTTCTGACCTTCGATGATTCAGTTAAACCATAAGCAAAAATAACTTATTGTTTTGTTATTGGTAAAGTGTTAAACTTTTCTCCTACATCCTATTCTTCTACAATCCAGAATTGGCAGCACAGCTGAAAGGTTAGCTTGAGCTGCGCCCTCTACTGTACATGTGTGAATATGCATTTCCTTCAGCCTGAGGCATATTATTTCACTTTTGGTGTGAAAGGATCTTTACATTTGCCAAAAAATATGATTTTTTTGTTATATAAAAAACAAGCCCAGCCCAGGGGGGAAAAAGTAACGCAAAAATAACTTCACGCATTACTTTTCTAAAAAAAGTAACTAAGTAACGCAATTAGTTACTTTTTAAGGGAGTAACGCAATATTGTAATGCTTTACTTTTCAATGTAAACTTTCCCCAACACTGACTATAACCATGACTGGCTTCTTCTACCAATTAGTTCAGTGTAACTGGTTCCTCTAAAACAATGGTTCTCACACTTAGACACAAAGGCCCTCTGATGTTGAACACAATATTCAAAGGCACCCTTTCTCATAGGCTCAGATACTTCTGCTGTAATCTGCTCGTTTTCAAACTACTTTTATTAAAAGAAACTGAGAGGATTGATATATTAAATAAAGGTTATTTTACCTATTATTATCATACTTTACTACATTATTATTATCATATTCATAATTATTAATTAACGTAAATGCTTTAAAGTCATCCTGCAACTCCTTTGAAAGTTTACTGAGGCCCACTGGTTGAGAACCACTGGAAAAAAATAAAATAATAATAATAATAATAAAAAACATATCGAATTTACTTATAGTAGCCAACATATTTAGAATGTTGGCTACTATAATTGTATTAAAATTTGATTCCATTAGTCCTTCAAATAGATTATATATTATGAACCTACATCTACATTAAGAATGTTCCAGATATGGTTGAAAATACAATCCTTGGCCTAGAAAGGCAACATTCTGGTAGTCAAGAAGACTATAAAGGGGGAAGGATGCCATTCCCTCACTGTCATCTGTGTGACTCTATGACTGCTGGCCTTTTCTTGCAACAAAATAAACCTCAAAGACAATTGGAAATGTCTGTCTCTTATTCAGTGATAGAATTTTGTTTGCCACCACAACATATACCATAGTTATTAAATGTAACGATAGTGTTAAAACGTGTAAGAGTTATAATGTACTTCTTAAATTTAATTTACTAAAATACAATTGTACTGGCAAGTCGATATAAGTTCAGCAAGGATGCATCGGTTTAGTTGTCATTCAATCTGCACTGATGTTTTACTCCTGATTCTCGTTCAAATTGTAGTTCACCTGCACTGAGACTGAGGACGACTGGTTCTGCAACTTCATCCATGATTTAAAATCCGTACATGCTCGGCACGGTTTCTTTTTCGGTTCTCCGGTAGTGGTCGGGTCTTTACTCGTACTGTCCCCAGGTGGTCTGTCAACCACGGGGAAAGGGAAAACGTCCATACCAGGGTTATTTTGCGTGGAGGATCGTGACCCGGCAGCGGCTGCCATGTTTAAACTCGATGTGTTATGTACATTCCAGGGTTGCCAGATCTCCATGATACACCAAACCCAATCAAAACAAGTGCACCCAAAAATGAAAATTCTCTCATCATTTACTCACCCTTAAGTTGTTCCAAACCTGTATACGTTTCTTTCTTCTGTAACAAAACAGTTGATGGTAGGCATTGACTTCCTTAGTATTTGCCATTAACTGTCTGGAAGAACTATTACTAGAAGTAACTATTCCATTAAATTATGCCACTCACAGTCATTGTTGTGCATTGTTTTTTTCAACTGGAAAACAAACACAGTGTGTTTTAAATTATTATAACACAGCGTGTTAAATAAAATTATCTTACCATTGACAGCTGGTGAACAAAATACTTATGTGAAGGTTTATCCTTGTCAACTATTTGATAACAAACTATTTACAGTTTTAAGATCTTGCTCTAATGCTATATCCATCTTGGTCCTTGTCATTATTTATTTTGGATAGAGTAAAATATTTAAATATAATAATTTAATTATTTATGCAATGTCCAAACTTTAATCAGGGAGGAAAATAAAACCGCGGACTTGGCAACCTTGTGTACTTCCCATGTGAGCGAATT